AGTCTGCGTTATACAGATGACACAACCCTGCTTGCCGAAACTGAGGAGTACCTCATGCACTTGTTGCAGAGGGTCAAGGACTGCAGCCTTCAGTATGGACTGATGCTCAATGTTAAGAAGACAAAGATTCTCACCGCTGGACCAATTGGTAGCATCAGGATGGATGGCAAAGAGATTGAGATTGTTCACAGCTTCAGTTTGCTCTGCTCCACGGTCAACACTCTTGGCACCAGCAGCCAGGAAATTAAAAGACGTATCGCGATGGGAAAGTCTGCTATTAGGGACCTCTCTAAAGTACTCAAGAGCAGCGGTGTCTCTCTGGAGACTAAGGTGCGCCTGATACAGGCCATGGTATTTGTAGTCGCTTGTTATGCATCAGAGAGTTGGACAGTGACTAGGGAGGATAGAAGAAGAACTGATGCCTTTGAGCTATGGTGCTGGAGAAGAGTATTGAATGTACCCTGGACTGCCAAGGAAACAAACCGATTCATCCTGGAGAGGGTTAAACCAGGCTGTTCCTTGGAGGCAAGGGTTCTGGGGCTTCATCTGACATACTTTGGACATGTTGTAAGGAGAGACAGGTCCTTGGAGAGGGACATCATGCTTGGTAGGGTCGAGGGACAGCACAGGAGGGGAAGGCCCTCTATGAGGTGGATTGATTCAGTGACGGGGGTAATCGGGATGGGTGTGTCAGAGGCAGTGTGATTGGCACAGGATAGAGCAGGGTTTAGGGCTGTTGTACATACGGTCGCTATGAGTCACAAACGACTCGACGGCACATAACAACAACATCATGCCTTAGAATAGAATTCCAGCCATGGAAATTGGCTGTGCTTGTTTAAAGAGTTCTGGTTTGTGGTGACCTTGGAGAAGTCTTTTAACCTTTATGGACTTAGTGTTTTTATCTTTAAATTAAGAGTTGGTTGAAATACGAGGTCTGTAATTTACCTTTTAGCTCCTTGCATTCAAGGAGGGATTCTGACTTACCAATCAAAGGTGGTCTGGCACTTTTGGCTTCAAGGATTAATTTCTACATAATTGCAGTTTCCTTTGGAGTCTCACTCAGAGACCAAGCCAAAAATGTGAGCTGTTTAAATATTCCCTTGCCTTGCCCTTCATTTATAGAATTACTGGTACATCTTGAATGCCTTTCCTTGGTGCAGCCATTTCCGTCATTCAGCATGCCCTTCAGAATCCTTCTCCAGAATGCTTGCTTGCACTAATAACAATTTGCCTCTCACCCTCCGTCAACCACTAGAATTTATCTTAGACACTTCAGCTGTATTAGTCTCACCATGCCTCTTCTCTATAAAAATAAACTGTAGTGGATCTCCATTGTCATCTAAAGAAAGGCCCAACTCATTAGCTCCGTCCTCAGTATCATCTGTCAATCTTAGCTCACATTACTCCCCTTCACATAATCTATAGAATAGTTGGACTGAACTTAATATCCTCTCAGTGCCTTTGATTATGTTACCCCCTGCACCTGGTCATGCTCCGTCCCTGCCCCCATTGTCACACGGCCACCTTCTTCATGAAATCTCTTCAGCTTTGAGCAGCCAGAAGTAATTCTTTCTCCTCAACTCCCATAGCACTCCTAGGATCTTCTGTGTGCCTATTAGTGTTAATTAGTTTGTTTTTCTTTTCTGTACTTCCTTATCTGTCCTAAACAAACTAATCTCCTTAGGAAATACTGTATTATTTTATACATTGTGGGTGTCCACTAAAAGTTGGTTGAATGAATGAATGAAAGTTCAGATTCTTATTGGCTCTGGTAGAGTTCTATTTTTAGATAACCACTAACAAGAATATAGAAAAGAGCTGTGCCCACAGGAGTTACTAAATTATTATACGCATAAGAGCCATAATAAAGATGTGTTAAAAATGCTTTGATTTATATTAAAGACATTTATTTCTTTCTTGAGCCTTTTTTTTTAAGAGAGAAACTTATATTTTCAGGGAAATAGATTTTTTCCCATTTTACTCACCCAAGATATTTGGAAAGAGGGTTTAAATGAAACAGTTAGGGCTTTTAAATCATTTATAAAAGAGCTTTTACTGCCATTTTAGTATATTATTGTTATTGTTGTTGTTAGGTGATGCCAAGTCAAGTATAGCAACCCTATAAATAAAATATTCAAACCCTCTTCTATCCTGTGGCATTCTCATACTTTCTGACACACAAGAGCCCATTGCAGCAGTCACCACTTCAGTCCACCTGATCAAAAGCCTTCCTTTCCTTTGCCGACCCTCATGTCCATATCCAAGGAATAGCCCTCATAGCAACATGCTCAAAGTATGTGAGATGAAGAGGCCATGTCATCAGGGACATCATTGCTGATGTCAGATGGATCCTGGCTGAAAGTAAAGAATACCAGAAGAGTGTCTTTGTGCTTTATTGACTATGCAAAGGCATTTGACTATGTAGATCATAACAAGTTATGGCTGACATTGAGAAGAATGGGAGTCCCAGAGCACTTAATTGTGCTCGTGTGAAACCTAGACCTAGACCAGGAGGCTGTTGTGTGAACAGATTAGGGAAACACTGCGTGTTTTAAAATGAAGAAGGGATTGCATCTCTCTATTTTAGTATATGCTGTTGTTATGTGCCATCGAGTCACTTGCAGCTCATTGCACCCCTATGTACAACGGCCCTAAACCCTGCTCTGTCCTGTGCCAATCGCACTGTCTCTGACACACCCATCTCAATTACCTCAGTCACTGTATCAACCCATCTCCTGTGCTGTCCCTCCACCCCCTCAAGCATGATGTCCCTCTCCAAGAACTGACCCCTCTTTGCAACAGGTCCAAAGTACATCAGATGAAGACTCAGAATCCTTTCCTCCAAGGAGCAGCTCACTTTAACCCTCTCTAGAATGAACCTGTTTGTTTTCTTATATATTATCATCAAAACCAAAAACCTATTGGAAGGACAACTATGGTCCATTCCAACTTAACGATACACAATAACAACCAATAACAACAGTACCATAAAGTTAGGAAGTTCTGGTAGCTTACTTTTAAGAAGTTGTGCTGCTAACGCAAAGGCATATGGTTTGAATCTACCAGCTGTTCTGTGGGAGAAAAGTTAATAATCTCCTCCTATGTGACTTACTGCCTGTGAAAACCTGCTAGAGGGTCGGTCACCTGCGAGTTGGCTTGGAATTGATTTGATGATAGGTACCAGCAGCCAAAACAGTAAACTCTGTGGCACATCACCCACACCATATAATTATTGTTAAGATGGGAAATTACATCCAAGGAATATATTTCAGTTTGTTATTTCAGTGAATTATAGGTTTTATTCTAAACTAATTCATTGTATAGGAGTCCCTTGGAAAATGCAGAAACTAGACAGCATCCTAGTTGAAACTACTACTAAAAACAAAAGAGAAACTACTGGCGGAATTTTATTGTATAAAATCATGTCAGAAAACATTAACATTAGGCGTATGAAGAAAAATGGTATCACCTAAACTTTGTTACTTTTAGTTTGAATGGCTTTTGTTAGGTAGTGTTTGTATAGACTGCTGTGCTGTCACTTCAATCTTGTCTTTCAAAACCCCAAGGAAGTTAAACCGATCTCACCTAGGACTAGACTATTAACATAGGTATTACCTCACTTCTCTCTAGATGATGTAAGATTAATCTCATTTATAGCAATCTGCTATTCCCAGTCATATTGCAGTAAAACAAAACAAAGTCATTGTCATTGTATTAGTTCTGATCCTTGATGACCCTGTCAGAAAGAAAAGATTGCCTCAGAATTTCTGAGGCTGAACTTTACAAAAGTGGATGGCCTCTTCTTTTTTCCCATGGAGCAGCTAGTGAATTTGAACCATCAACCACGTAATTAGCAGCCAAGAGCTCTTGACCACTGCACTGCAACGCTCCTTATAGTAGAACATTGCTGTTGCTGGCAAATTAAACCTACCCATAAATGACCCTCCAGTAGATTTTCAGAGGCAATAAATCTCATAGGAGGAGATTGTCCATCTTTCTGCTGCGGAGCAGAGCAGCAGGTCTATCCAAACCACATGCTTTTTGGATCACCACATAACTTCTTACCTACACTAGCATGTTGTATGCCTTCAAGTCAGAACCTATCCATAGCTGACTCTGCAGTGAGTTTTCAAGGCAGTTAATCACACAGGAGGAGATTATAGGCCTCTTATATTGGCATGTCGTTGCGTGTCGTTGAGTCAGAACCAACCCATAGCTGACCCTCCAGCAGGTTTTAAGAGGCAGTAAATCTCAAGGGAGAATTATTGCCCATCCTTTTCCTTATATTGGTGTAATGCTTCCCAAACAGAAACTGCCACATTTCTTTGTACTCATTTATAATTTGGTTTGCTGTGCATATTTCAAAACTATTTATAATACTTAAAGCTGCTAAAGAAATAAAGACTAATCAATTACATGTTTGCTGCTTTGTTTTCTTTTATCTTTACAGTAGAAGGTAATAGAACATTCATATGAATTATGTTCTTTGTCAGTTTACACTTAACATTTATTTATCAAAAGCAAAAATAACATACATTTTCTTTTTTCTTTTATGCTAGTAATAGAAATGGGGCTTGGTAGGGAGGATTGGGATAAACATAAAACAAAAAGTCTGCCTCTAATCACTTTTCTAAAGAGCTCTGATGGCATAATCCGTAGAGAGTTGCTCTGTTAACCTCTCTGGTGTTTCTAACTCTCCATCATCTCTGCAGGAGAAAGATGAGTGTTCTCCTTTTAAGCATTTTACAGCCTCTGGAAACCTGCTATGAAGGGTTAGTGATGAGTTGGTTCCAACTGACAACAGTGAGTTAGCTTTTTTAAAGTTGCTTTTCTCCACTGTTGAGGGGAAGTGCAGACTTGATCCGTGGCAAGCAGTTCTGTTACGTTGACTGTTCATTTAACTGGCACTTTGGGGGCAGAGATAGCTGACAGATTTTATAAAAACTTTGCCTACGTTTGATCTGTTAATCTCGGGCTCTCTCTCCCTTTCCCCTCAGGAGCTAGAAGCAGCTCTTCACAGAGATGACGTTGAGTTTATCAGTGACCTGATTGCTTGCCTGCTACAGGGTTGCTATCAACGAAGAGATATCACGTGAGTAATCCTTATTGAGTATTTCTTACAAGGGAAACTAGCCCTATCATAGTGATGTTTCATGTCTCATATAACAAGTCAAAGCTGTTTGTTAGCCAATAAGTTAGCTTCATATCAGACTCTGTACAAGTGGGTTCCTCAGCCCTACATTGGGCTCTTTCTGTAACTCAGTTTTTGTTCTATTAAAACCTGCAAGCTTATTTCACTCTCGCAAATGTGTTCTACCATTTATGGTTAGATACAGTTAAGTTAATAGGTACACCTCTGTTCCTGATTTTTGTTTGCAATATTGGCAAAATATTGCCTAACAAACTAATTTTGGATTTTAGTGCTTTTTTGCCTCTCATTGTAGCTTCTGTTGTTCACATACCAATAGTAATTTTAACACTAAACGTTTTCTATGCCTGCAACTTCCAAATAAGAGACTTGCTGTGCTATAGAGATTTGTAAACATTTAGGGTGTGATGTCACTTTCCAAGGAATGACCCCTTCTCTAGCAACATGCCCAAAACAGTATGTAAGACGAAGCTTTGTTATGCTTGACTCTAAGGATTGCTTTAGCTACACCTTCTTCTTGTTCTTTTGACAGTCCATGGGATATTTAGTTCTTTCCTCCAACACCACACTCAGAGCCACTGATTTTTTTTTTTTATGGTGAGAAAAAATTTATTATATTTAGAATTAGCCCGCTGGACTCAGTTTAGATGATCCCAATTTTGTTGGCAACATCCAAAGCATCATAATCAGGAGCAAGTCGAACATAGGCCTTCTTCTCTCCATCAGACCTAATCAAAGTGTTGACCTTAGCCACATCAATGTCATAGAGCTTCTTTACAGCTTGTTTAATTTGGTGCTTATTGGCCTTGACATTCACAATGAACACAAGTGTGTTGTTATCTTCTATCTTCTTCATAGCTGACTCAGTGGTCAGGGGAAATTTGATATGATGGCATAGTGGTCAAGCTTGTTTCTCCTTGGGGCGCTCTTCCGGGGGTATTTGGGCTGCCGTCGGAGTCTCAGCGTCTTAGGCCGCCAGAACGTGTGTGACTTGCGGATCTTCTTTTTTTTTTAGCTGCGGACGCCCTTTAGGACTGCCTTCTTGACCTTTGCTTTGCTTTGGCTTCAGTTTTGGGAGGGGCAGGGGCTTCCTTCTTCGCTTTCAGCGTCATCTTCGTAGAAAGGGCCAGAACCACTGATTTTTAAATCATGTGAATGTCTGATTCATAGTGACCAATGCTAGTCCACCTCAGCTCACTAATGCCTAGGGGTGTTTTTTTTTAAGAACATGTGTGTTGGTCTACCAAATGTCAGTCATTGTGTGTTCCATTTACCTAAGCTCTGGTGGCCTAGTGGTAAGGAGTTGTGCTGCTGACTCAAAAGGCGGGCATGTCTGTCTAAAGCACATACAACCAGATGTGAAGAATAATATTTAAACTGAGTCTATACATTATGGTGTAATCTAGGTCAATATCTGCATATTAACAGGCCCATTGAATAAATGAATAAACTCTTCAGAAACTGCAGGTAGGAAGAATTCTTTCTCCCACGCTCTAAAACAAGAAACAGGTTGATCACCTGGCATGGAGCCTAGCAGTTAAAATGTGGAGGGCAAAGTTTTCTTATTAAATAGCTATTTCTTTGAGCTTCAGTCTTGATCCCTATGTGTTGTTTTGTTACCCTCATCGAAAAGTGAACTTTTACATTTAAATATCAATTTGAAAGGAGGGGAATCCCAATTTGGAGTTTCTAAAGAACATTTGAAGCCCCATGGTAGTGCCAGAAGTTAACAACCAAAAGGTTGGTGGTTCAAGTCCTACTCAAGGCATTTTGGAATAAAGTTAAGGTAGTCTGCTTTTGAATAGTCAGCTGTTGAAAACTCTGTGTAGTACAGTAATCACTCTGACTCACATGAGATTTCCAAGAGGTGGAGTCATCTTAATGGCAAGGATTATGGTGTGGCATAAGAAACATCTCGTGATCTAACACTATACAGAATGCTTTCTGCTAAGACAGCCATCACCTAGTGGGAAAACAAGACCTGTATGCTCTTCTCCCTCATGTTAAATCTCGGTGTCACATACCACGTATCATTTTACTAGCAGCCCACACTACCTATTTTCTTTCCCTTCTGGGCTTCTGAAGCCATTTGAGTGCCGCAGGGTGGATTGGCTAGTGGCAGCAAAAGTGGACTCTAACATAACAGGGAGTGTGAGGGTAGCCCTGATTCAGGCAGTGTTATACATATGGTCACTGTGCATTGGCACTAACTTGATGGTCCCTAGCAACAACATTATAAAGGAATTATCAAGAGAATTTTATGTGCTTCTTTCCTGGTAAATGGCCATAACCAAAGTGTTCTGTTATTATTAGGTGCCGTTTAGTAGGTGACCCTTTGTACAACAGAATGAAATAGAGCCCTATCATGTGCCGTCCATATAATTTCTGATGTGTTTAAGTCTGGTTAATTTTATTTGTATCATGTCATTCATTTCTACTATATACTGTAGAAAAATCTATATTAACAGAATGGTGGTTATCTTACAGGGTATTGATAGTTTTAATGCATCCTCTTTCTGTCATTCTTCATATTTTTACATGACTTTGTTTTCTTTTCTTGTAAAATAAGGGGAAGAAATGGTAGATGGTCATCTTGGTAATAAGGCCCTAGTTTATAGGAAAGGAAACTGAGATCCAATCAACACTCTAAATTACTTACCAGGTCTTAAAGTCAATTAGAAGGTTAGTAGTGCCAACAGCCTCTTGCCTTTAAGGTAAGAGAAAATGCAAAGAATTGAAAGGACAGGAGGCCAAAACTTCTATTAATCTTCAAATTTGAATTTTAAGACCTTTGTGTATTAGGTCTTCTTCATGTGTAATTAATTATACATATTGACAGTGCAAAAATTAAACTTTTTTCAATACTCATCACATGCAGTATAGACCAGAAATCTTCAGCCCATCCCGGGAGAGAGTAAACTTAGAGATTTTTAGTCTATGATTTAGGGGGGAGGGTTCAGGAGGAGGGTGTACTTGCATGTGCAGTATGTATGTATCCAGCATTTAAAAAACTTATTCATGAAGTATTTTATGTAGATATTTACACATAGGTCAGATAACATTTATATACTTCAGTTTTATAATGGTTTAATGGTCAAATCAGAATGTCCTCTGTTTCTTTTAATATCTGCCTCACAACTTCTCCGTTTTGCAGACCACACAGACATCACTATTTGTGAGAGATGAGTTGATTGCCTACTAACCTTTCTTTAATAGTGCTAAAATATTGCAACACTTGCAAGTACCAGTTTCCTCCTAATCATAACATTACGTCAGCTACTCCTAAATGATCTATTTTGAAATGAGTGGCTAATTTATTAAAAAACATGACTTCAGTCAAATGTCATAAAATTCCCAGTGTTCTAAGTAAGAGGGAAGAGACATGGGAGTTTTATTTTGTTCTCTCTCTCAATACCAGCTCCTCCTTTGACCTTTCAGCTGCTGAAAAATATGAACCAGAATCCTTCAGAAGCTAAAAGGAGCTCCAAGCTTTCACCATTCATTCTCCTCTAGTATGTGTATGGGGGTGCTGGAAGATGAGAGGTTAAGGGGTGGGTGGGTGAGGTGCAGCACAAGTCATGACACTGTGGTGAAGAGCTGCTCTATAAAGTCAGAGCCTGCCTGCTAGCCAAAACTAGGGCAGGAAAATCAGCAAGCAGGTGCTTCAGCATTTTCCACTCTCTGTCCTGCTAAAAATTGTCATTGAATATTATGTAAAAAGTTATCAGTGATTTTCATTTCTTTGTACCTGAAGAAGAAATATTTCTGCATGGCCACATAAGTTTGGGCCCTAAGATTCTGGGTTAGTTGTGTCGACTGAGGTTTTAGTCTTCAGCATTTATAAAATTTACTAATAAAGTACATATACTCACAGAGAAAAGTACACCACACAGAGAATTTTTCACAAACTGAGTGCACCATATCAAGAAAGACCATTATTAGGCTTTCTACTTTCTGCATTACCATGAATTATCCATAAAGTTGTTATTTTGTTTACCATTGTTGATCCTCTAAGAGTGAAGGTGAATGCAAGGCTCTAAGTGGTGTAAGCAGTTTCAGCTAAAGGATGAATCTACCCTTAGAGAAAGGCATAGTGATCTCCTTTCAAATAACCACAGCTGGGGTGAGGTTTGGGTTTGAGGGTGGGCTCAAGAAGATGCACATGCTTCCACAGACACTTGAGTAAATAAATTCATGAATGCTATTTCTGGCACTAACATTTCTATTATGTGACACCAAGAAAGCAAATTAATTTATTTGTTGATAACTTGTCTCATCATTAAAATTGGAATAACAGTTTGTTATTGTTAAGTTCAGTGAAATTAATTTCTAGATGTTCCTCAATGTCAGTTGTTCTCATCGTGTGTAGTAGATACATGGTAATTTGTTTTGGGCTTTTATTTTCTACCCATGGTGAATGGAAAGTAAACTTTGATTCAAGCAAATTTCTCCTCTTGATTGCCATATTTTAAAAATGAGTTTGCATACTTTTTCTGAATAGGGCGATAGAATTCTATTCTACTTTTATTTGTTCAGTCTAACCTTTAAATTGTTATATAAAACTCATTTCTCTTAATTGTCTTCTCCATGCTAAGTTTTTTATATCTACAGAATAGAATAATAAATGGTGTTGTCTAATTACAGTAATGTGATTATTAACATGCACTCAGTGGCATGTAGTAGCAGATCTAGACAGCGGGAATCGCATAGCTAACCGATAGGTGGCGCTCTCTGGCAGCCTCTGTACAGTGGAGGGTCAACTGTGCATTGATTCCCACTTAAAGACAGTAGGTTTGAATTTTGAGCAGAAGATCTGATTCTGTTGTGCCCAACAGGTTAAGAGACACATGCCTCCAAATTATAAGTGAGGTATTTTATTTGCTGTGCAGTGAGGGGGAGGGGATCCCAGCAGCATTGCAGGAGTCCCCCCATCCCCTAGCTTT